AGGGGGGGCGCGACGGGGCCTAACGAGCGCGACGGGGCCCAGGGGGGGCGCGACGGGGCCTAGGGGGCGCGACGGGGCCTAGGAGGCGCGACGGGCGGAAGCGGTAGGCGGGGGGATCCTAACCTAAGCGTGATACCATGTTAACGTAGAAACGAATGATTTACTAGAGGTGGAAACCTAGAACAAATACTAGTTGGTTGTACTCACTAGAAGCATACCTCAGTCTAGCCTATAACTTCTACATAGATAATATGTATAAGTTGACACGTATTAGTTTGTTTAGATTGTGAAAGCTTGCTTGGGTCACCTTGGCAAAGGCAGCGTGCTTCATTTCATATGGGCTACAGTACATGGTTCTCGTCCAATAGACTACACCGTCCAATAGGGTGGGTGGGTGGGGAAAACGAAACTGGAACTAGAAATGAAGAACGTGGGTGAGGTCGAATGGCCTCACGTCCCTCTTTTGTAGGCAAAAGAGGGTGAGTAGCGCTTCGACGCTGACCTTGCTGCGTTGGCCCTCGCTACACTTTCACAATACAATTTTTTTAGAAAGTGTTACACGCTTTCAAAAAAATACATATTGAGAAAGCTTGCTTGGGTCACCTTGGCAAAGGCAGCGTGCTTCATTTCATATGGGTCTTCTGAGGCATGTGAAGCAGGGGCTGGCGGTGTCGCTCGATGGAGAGCTGGTGATGTCTGGGCGATGGAGCGGCGGACGCGTCTTGGATGCGTGTGGATTCCGCAAGGAGCTGGTCCTGCGCAATGGTGACGTAGAGATCTTTGGCCGTATCGCTACGCCAGCGACCGAGTCGCTTGAAGAGCCGGTCAGGGATCCCCAAGTTAGCTGCCGCAGTTGCGGCGCCCTTGCGGAAGGAGTGAGTGCCGAGGTGTCTGTTGTCAAGCCCAGCCTTGGCGAAGGCTTCGAGGCACCAGTTGCGGATGGTTGTGTATGACGGAGCGCTGTCGTGAGGGGTTGCCCTGCCGCTGGTGCCAAAGACACGGATCAGAGGTCCATGCGGGGTGGTGGGGTGTCCCGCGAGTTGCAGAAACCGCTGGGTGCAACGGACTGGGCAGTAGGGCCTTTGATTGGCCTACACTAGGGCTGGCCCTCTGCCCCTAAGGGGTGGGCCCAATGGCTTACGCACACACCGGGTGCCTTGCGCCTTGCGCCACTTGCGCAAGCGCCCATGGCCCGACCCCTACACCACTGGTGCGGGTCCTTGGCCACCATGCCCAATCGCCGGGCAGCCGCTGGCCACATGCCCCGGCTGGCCACAGCGGAAGCAAGTGCCTCGGAAGCCACGGAATTCTCCCGTAGGCGGCGGACCACGCTTTGGCACGAACGGCATGGGCATGCGGCCGCCTCCGCGATTTCCACGAGCAAATCCGCCCTCGGCGCGGTCCATTGCGGCCACGTCAGCGACGGCCTGCTTGAAAGGCCTTGAGGTAAGCAAACTCTTCTGCTGGTACAGCTTGAAACGCTTGGCCGTGCGGAAGTCGGAGGCGTCTTCGACTTGGAGAACTTCGAAGCGTCGTGATATGAGGGCGAGCGCGTCGGCGAGGAATTCGAGGCCGCCCGGCGCGTCGCCGTGCTGCACCTTGAACTCGGCGTGCTTCAGGTATGCCCGAAGGTCCTCCAGGACTTCTGCTAGCTCGCGTACGGCCGCGTTGAGGAAAGACGCCGCCGAGAGGGTGGTGTGAGTGGTCGGGAGTGGTGGGAGATGCTCTATGGGAATTGAATTTGCAGCAGTGCCGGGGACCTCACCAGCGTCATTGTCGGAGTCGTCGCTGTCGTTGTCGGCCGCCGGGGCAGGCGGGATGCTGGCGATGGCGTCCTTAGCGAGGCGTGGCGTCTTGGTTCCGCGTGTGGCCTTTTCTGTTTTTGCAGGTTCTTTTTTAGCAGATTCAGAAGCAGCAGGTTGAGCAGTTTCGGCGGCCGTAACACTCGTCGCCTGCTGCTGTAACAGCGTCAACAGCGCGTTGACCTGCGCAGGGGTCAACGCCGGGGTCAATGTCGGGGTGGGCGGCACGTCAGACGAGGCAGCCGCGCGCCCCCTTTTGCGCTGGCGAGAGGGGCCCGCCACTTGCGGGGCTGGCGCGTGCTGCTGCTCGGCGTCAGGCGCGAGTGGCTGGCTCTGCCCAGCCACTTGCGCGTGTGGCTCAGAAGGGGGCGGGGGCGCGTCAGCAAGCTGACTGTTGACCTCGCCCCCTCCCAGCAGAACGTCAACCCCAGTTGGGGCGGTTGCCCCTTCTTCTGCCCGACGCTTGTTGCGCCGGTCGCCCGCAATTTCCGGGGCTTGGCGAGTAGACTCGGAATTGGGGTGGCCGGTGGCGACGTTGGACTCGCCGCGATTATTCATAGTCGGAGCCATGACGGATCGGTGAAACTTAAAAATGTCAGAGAGAAGAGTTGAGGGAGACTCGCCGCGAGGCAAAGTTCTAGTCTTAGCCAGCTTGAACGGGAGAAAAGCTAGAGCGGGAAGGTTGACTGAGCCGTTTGAAAAATGAGAGACGTGGGTGGAGGTAAATGAGCTCCAACCCACGTATATGTAGTTGGAGAAGGGCGAGTAGCGCGCTTCGACGATGCCCAACGCTTCAGTACAATCAGCTTCGCTTTCACAATACACAATTTTTGAAAAACACTTCATGTGTTAAAAATTATAATATTGTGAAAGCTTGCTTGGGTCACCTTGGCAAAGGCAGCGTGCTTCATTTCATATGGGTCTTCTGAGGCATGTGAAGCAGGGGCTGGCGGTGTCGCTCGATGGAGAGCTGGTGATGTCTGGGCGATGGAGCGGCGGACGCGTCTTGGATGCGTGTGGATGCCGCAAGGAGCTGGTCCTGCGCAATGGTGACGTAGAGATCTTTGGCCGTATCGCTACGCCAGCGACCGAGTTGCTTGAAGAGCCGGTCAGGGATCCCCAAGTTAGCTGCCGCAGTTGCGGCGCCCTTGCGGAAGGAGTGAGTGCCGAGGTGTCTGTTGTCAAGCCCAGCCTTGGCGAAGGCTTCGAGGCACCAGTTGCGGATGGTTGTGTATGACGGAGCGCTGTCGTGAGGGGTTGCCCTGCCGCTGGTGCCAAAGACACGGATCAGAGGTCCATGCGGGGTGGTGGGGTGTCCCGCGAGTTGCAGAAACCGCTGGGTGCAACGGACTGGGCAGTAAGGCCCAGTTGTGGGAGCAACGGGGATCCATGAGCCCTTGCCGTCTTGATCCGTCTTGGAGTGCGGGATTAGGATCCACATAGACTCCTCGTCGAAGTGGATGTCGTTCCACTGGATGGAGACGAGGTCGGAGTAGCGGAGAAATGCCGCGAACATGAGGAGTGGGATCAGTCCTTTCTGATATTCTGCCGGGCTGCTCGACTCAAGGAAGGGGTGTGCCATGGCGTGCACCTGGTGGAGCGACAAGGGTTCCTTCGTCCTGGTGGTGCACGGGCCGTGGCGTTTGGAGAATTCACGAACTTGTGAAGTGAAAGGCCCGCTAGTGGGAGAGGGTTCTCCGGTCATCCGATGTGCAAATGCGACGGCGGAGCACGTAAGGGATATGGCGGATACTGTGGCCTGATTGTTGAGGGCATAGACAAGGTAGAGCGCTAGAGTAGTGTCTGTGGCAGGCAGGTAGCTCAGCTTGACCTTCGTGCAAAAGGAGCGGAACTTGAGCCAATACGGCTCGTAGGTCCTTATAGTGGATGGCGCGCGGACATGACTGATTACCCGAAGTAGCTGTGTCTGTAGTTTTGATAATAAGCCTGAAATACAGAGAGCCCAGGCACGGTGGGGTTATATTTTATATGTCACATGCAACGCAATGATCGGGCTATTGGGAAAAGCGAGACCAGCAAAGGCGAGTGAGTGTGTGCCTGGGGATAGGCATTGGCTGCCTTGAGTGAGGGGAATATGTGCCTTTACTTCTCGTGCCCAGGTTCGTGGTGCTGGCTGCAGTAGGGGCCACCAAGAGGCTCCTGGCCACTCGGGAATGACCAACGTCAACTCGGCGTGGGTGCGTTGGGCGTGGCGCAGAGTAGCCGGGATGAGGTGGGGGGGGGGAAACGCGAAGCCGCGTTCATCATGCCAGCTGAACGAGAAGGCGTCAACTGCTGTGGCCTTGGGGTGAGGAATCTTGGAGCAGAAGCGCCCCAGTTGAGCGTTGTGAACATTCGCGAATAGGTCGACAGAGTGAGGCCCCAGGCGGCGGTCGAGGAGTCGGAACCATGCGGATTTGAGTGAGTAATCATCTCGGTCCTGGACTTTGGAGAGTTCGTCGGCGTGCGCGTTCAGCTCCCGGGGAATCCATTCGATGGCAAGGCGTGTCCGGTTTTTTAAGCAAAGGTCGATGATCGCCTGGCAAAGTAGTGTGAGTGCAGGGATGCTGGAGCCGCCTTTGCGCAGTATGAATACAACCCCCTGGTTGTCCACACGAACTAACACGTGCCGTTTGGAGATGTGGGTGTCAAAGGTTCTTAGTGCCCACAGTACGCCTTCGAGTTCCCTTCGGGTGCTGGAAGTGTGTAGGAGGTCTTCTGGCATGCGGGAGCTTGCTTCTATTGGGATCCCAGGGAGCGGCGTGAGGATGGCACCCCAACTGTGGGCGCTTGCATCCACGTGGATGACGGCGTCGAACTGGTGACTGAGATGAAATGGGGCGCCGTTAAATTTGTCGAATTGCGCCAGCCAGAAACATAGCTCGTCCACCGCTGCCGGGTGCAGGAGGACCTTGGAGTGCCAGGACGTTGCGTCGGCAATAAGTCGCAGGAGTTCGTGGCTGAATGCTCGTGCCGTCGCGCCCAGTGCTAGGGCCATAGAGGCGAGCATGCCTGTAACTCTTGCGAGGGATCGAACGGGAATATGCCTTCCTGATTGTCCTTGGGTTATCAAGGCCTCAAGCGTGGTTAAGAGTTGAGCCCTTCGCTCGAGTCCGACGGAGAACGTGCCGCGGGTGGAGTCGATTTCCAATCCGAGGAAGCGAAGCTGACGCGAGGGGTGGAGGTTCGATTTTTTGCCGTTAATGACGAAGCCAGCTGCGTTAAGGTCCTGGAGGACTGTCGTACGAGTCGAGCACGCTTGCTGGTGGGAATCGCAGAGAAATAATAGGTCGTCAACATACGGGACCACTCGAACGCCGCTTGCCCGCCATCGCTTGGCAAGTTGTTTAATTAGTTGGGTGAAAACGAATGGAGCAGTTGCAAGGCCGAACGGCAGTGACCGAAAGGAGTAGTAGATGCCTTCGAACTGGAAGCCCAAAAACTGCCAACACGAAGGGTGAATCTCGACATGATGGTATCCAGATTTCAGGTCGATGGAAAACACCCAGTCATCTCGGCGGATGAGCTCGGCTACACGATTCAGACCCTCGTACTTGAACTTGGGGGCTTCAAGGTGGGTGTTCACTTTCCGCAGGTCAAGGATGAGGCGGCATTTGTCGCGTTGCTTCACGACGTTCAGTGGGCTGACACATGTTAGTGTGTCTCTCTTCTCGATCACTGCAGCAGCGCCGGTCACTACAAGATCGCGAATTGTGACGCGAGTAAAGTCGAGGTGCGTGCAGACTCCGGCATGGTTGTTGTCCTCGAAGGGTGTGGGGGCTGTATTCTTCCAGGGCAGCCAATACCCTTTAGCGATGACGGAGAGGATAAAGCTACTGTCACACCAGGAGCACCACCAGTGCAAGGCATGCCGCAGTCGACTGCGCATGATGGTCACGTCCCTGTCTGTAGTTGCGAGCTCGTAGGGATCGCATTCCTCTCGTGGCCACCCACTTGGGATCTCTGCATTATACGAGGTTATAAACATGGGTTCTTAGATGGGAATAAGATCCTGTGCTCGTGAGCAGGTGCACGATGCGGGGCAAGTGTAGACGGGGCATGACATGCTCGGACCGCACGGCCACTGCCGTGTTAGGTGCTTGCAAGGTGCAAGGGGTACTCGTCTCTCTATCCGCCTTCTCTTTCTCTGTCGCTCTCTCTCTCTCTCTCTCTCTCTCTCTCTCTCTCTCTCTCTCTCTCTCTCTCTCTCTCTCTCTCTCTCTATCTCTTTCCCTCTCTCTCTCTCTCTCTCTCTCTCTCTCTCTCTCTCTCTCTCTCTCTCCTCCCTCTTTCTCTCTCTCTCTCTCCCCCTCTCTCTCTCACTCTCTCCCTCTTTCTCTCTCTCTCTCTCACTCTCTCTCTCTCTCTCTCTCTCTCTCTCTCTCTCTCTCTCTCTTTCTCTCTCTCTCTCTCCCTCTCTCTCTCTCTCTCTCTCTCTCTCTCTCTCTCTCTCTCTCTCTCTCTCTCTCTCTCCCTCTCTCTCTCTCTCTTTCTCTCTCTCGCTTGCTATTTCTCTCTCTCTCCATCTCTTGATCTCCCTCTTTCCCTCTTTCCTTTGCGTGCGAAGACATCACGTGCTGTGTTCGTACGTGAACATTTTTTAAGCGCGTTGGTGCTCGTTGGTGGTTGGCTTACATTTCTTCCTCCTCCTTCTTTTGCTCTCCTTGTTTGGGCCACTCTTTGTGTTAGCTTTGAGCTCCTAGACTCTGTCCTTGGCTCTTAAATAGTGCATCTCCGAGTGCGTGCGTGCGCACCATTTTGTTGGGTGCCGAGCGTGCCTCCATGGTTAGCTCTCGGGGCGTGTTGCGTGGTCGGCAAAGAAAAAAGTGAGGGGTCGGAGGCTATGCTCAAGGCTGACCAGCCATGTTGACTGGGTTTTGTAGCCCCCTCCCTCCCCCCAACCCCCTCAAGGGTTTTTTTTTTTTTTTTTTTTTTTTGGAAGAAAACGGATGGCCGTGACACGGTCGAGCCTTTAATTCAATCATAGGAATTATTACAAGCCTAGGCCTATCAGCCTTTGCTGTCCCCAAGGGCCACCCTAGTCAGCGAAGACTCCTTGCCTTTGGCAAAAGGCTGGCCACCAGCCATGCACCTACCGTGCAACCCACTATGCGTCTTGCATGTGGGAGAGGGCGCCGCCCTATCAACCGCTCACACCACCGGTGAGGGACCTTGCGCACCACGCCCTCCCATGTGGCATGCATTGGCCATGTGGCCTGGCTGGCCACAGCAAAAGCAGACTCCCTTGAAGCGCGGCTGCTGGCACGTAGCAGGGGGGAGCCCTTGATGTCCGAGTCCGTGTCGCGACCACCGGGACGGCCGCCGCGCGTATAGCCGAGGCGTGCACGCTTGAGCGCTGCCACATCCGCGACCGCCAGCTTGTAGGAGCGGGATGTCAGGACACTTTTGGACTGATAGAGCTGGAACCGGTCGGCGGCCTCGAAACCGGCTTCGTCCGCAACGAGAAGGACTTGGAAACGCTTATTAATAAGTATTTCGATATCCTTTACGTTGTTGAGTGCGCCGACGACGTCGCCGTGCTGCAGCTTGAAGTCGATATGCTTCAGGTACGCTTCGATGGCAGTGAAGACCTCGGCCTGGTCGCGTACGCCCTTGCCGCATGAAGGTAGTAGCTGCGGGCGTGGGACCAAGGGGGGGAAGGGGGGGGGCGGGTGCGAGGATGCGACGACGAGCAATGTTGGCGGGACCCTCACCATCGTCATTTTCGGAGTCGTCGCTATCATCGGGGTTGTCAGCGGGTGCGGGAGTTGGTGCCGGGGGCTGGTCGTCGGCGCGGGGAGCCTTGGGCGTGCGAGGATGGGTAGCCATTTCTTTCTTTTTGTTAAAATTGGTCGTAGGTGCAGCGTTATCGGATGAGGTTCCGACTGTAACAGCAGGAGCTTGCTGCTGTAACAGCGCCAAAAGCGCTTGCAGCTGGTGCGCAGTCAAGGCGGGGCGGCGGCGGTTGGCGCGGGGTCGGCGGCAGGCGCGTGCTGGGTGGTGGGGCCCGCCTGGCCTGCAGGCGACGCGCCTCGGGCTGGCGCGTGGACTTCCGTTGCCTGCACGCGCGGCTGCAAAGCAGCCGCGCGAGTTTCTTTTGGAGCAGCGTGACTGCCGCCGAGCAGAATCTCGACTGCCGAGGGGCCCTCGCCAAAATTGTCCTCAGCAGGACGTTTCTGACGTCGGTCGGTTCCCCCGGGCGAAGTTCCGAGCGCCTGGGCGTTAGCGGGGGTAGAAATGTTATTCACCGCGCGAGCCGGAGCAGAATTGGCGGAAGTCATCGCGGTAATATTGTGCTGCAGAATGTCGGTGAGGAGCGTTGTCGGAGCTTTGAAGCGCGGAAGAGACTGGGTTTTCGCCAGCTTGGGCGAGAATAAGAAGACTAGAACTAGGACGAGAACTGGAAAACGAAACTGGAACTAGAAATGAGAACGTGGGTGAGGTCGAATGGCCTCACGTCCCTCTTTTGTAGGCAAAGAGGGTGAGTAGCGCTTCGACGCTGACCTTGCTGCGTTGGCCCTCGCTACACTTTCACAATACAAATTTTTTTAGAAAGTGTTACACGCTTTCAAAAAATTACATATCTTGACTGTCAAGTTGCAGTTTGACTGTGCTGTTTGCCGGAACCACAGGCAAAGAACGTTCACTGTAGTCGAAATTTGCTAACATTGACTGTTTATTTGCATGCTGTCAAGCGCAGGCAAGAACGTTCGCTGTACACTTTTTATTATATTTGGTCTCACAGTTTTTACACGCGTCTCAACCTGTAAGCAGGAAATAGTAAAAACACAAGGCTCGACGTGAATTGTCGGATGACGTATGCCTAAATTTTTCCCGTTCACAACTCAAGTTAGTATTTCCCCCACCTTTTTCTTTTCATTTGGGTTGTGCATAAAACTTTTGTGAGTAAAATACTACAAGATTATGTAGCATGTACTTACTAACTACTGCAATAATTTACGGTTTCATATAAAAGAAGTGTTGTATTTCTGAAGTATTCGTTTAGATCGGCGGTTTCGTTTCGGGCGGGAACGATTGATTTATCTGCTTCGTGACTGTAAAGCTGTACAGTCTCTCACGTTCGACGGGACTCGCTCTCCGTGCGAGAATACAAACCTGAACCAAACTTGAGGTGAGTGTACAGAAATCGGACTGTAATACATGCTATTTAATAGAATACTTGGGTGTAGTAACTTTGCTGATTGTACTTGGTTTAGCTTTCTGGGGCAAAGCGAATACGCCCCTGGTAGGGCTTGTTGGAGCTTCTTGTTTCTGCTCGTCCTTCCCACTTACTGTACTGTACCTAGTTCTTGCTCTTTCGTTCGTGCCTAGTTCTTGCTCGTGTAGGTCAGTCCTCACCTAGTTGCTTACACTAGTTCTTGCTTAGTACTCCTTGTGTAGACTTGCTCACGCCTAGTACTTGCTCACGCCTAGTCCTTGCTCACACTGACTTCCTTGCTCACACCTAGTCCTAACTCAAAACTAACTCTTTTCCCTTATCATGCCTAACTGCCACCTGGCGCGGAGCCCGTAACCCGTTTCGCGCTGGCCGTTTTGCCGCTGGCGACTTGCGCGCTGGCGCGTTTCTCACTGTCGCCTTGCACGCTGGCACCTTCCACGCTGGCGCGTTCGCGCTGGCGCTTGCGCGGTGCGGTTTCGCTGGCGCGTTTCGCGCTGGCGCGTTTTCGCGCTGGCGCGTTGGCTGGCGCTTGCGCGTGGCGCGTTTTGCGCTTGCGCCTTGCGCGCTGGCGCCGTGCGTGCTGCCACCGTGCGCGCCGGGGCTGCCGCCGTGCTCGCCGGCGCCGTGCGCGCTAGTGCCGTGCGCTCTCTCCTCTCTCCTCTCTCCTCTCTCCTATCTCCTCTCTCCTATCTCCTATCTCCTCTCTCCTCTCTCCAATCTCCTCTCTCCTCTCTCCTATCTCCTCTCTCCTCTCTCCAATCTCCTCTCTCCTATCTCCTATCTTCTCTCTCCTATCTCCTCCTCCTATCTCCTCTCTCCTATCTCCTCTCTCTATCTCCTATCTCCTATCTCCTCTCTCCTATCTCCTTCTTCTCCTCTCCTATCTCCTCTCTCCTATCTCCTCTCTCCTATCTCCTCTCTCCTATCTCCTATCTCCTATCTCCTCCTCTGCTCTTATCTCCTCTCTCATCTCCTCTCCTATCTCCTCTCTCCAATCTCCTCTCTCCTATCTCCATCTTCTCTCTCCTATCTCCTCTCTCCTATCTCCTCTTCTCCCTATCTCTCTCTCCTATCTCCTATCTCCTATCTCCTCTCTCCTCTCACCTCTCTCCTCTCTCCTATCTCCTCTCTCCTCTCTCCTCTCTCCTATCTCCTCTCTCCTATCTCCTATCTCTTCTCTCCTCTCACCTCTCTCCTCTCTCCTATCTCCTCTCTCCGCCCACACCTCCCTCCTTCCCCGATTCTGCCCCTACCGTGTCTCACCTCACCTCTCAGGTCAATGCTTTCAACCTCGCAGCAGCCAGCAGTGTGACTCGGTGCGACACTCTGTGCCTCGCCTTTTCTCCGCCCCACACCCTCCTCCTTTCTTTACCCTGCCTGTCCCTACCGTGTCTCTCCTCACCCCCTCAGGTGAATGCGTTCAACCCAGCAGTAGTGGGCAACGTGATGTGCCGCAACCTTATCAACATTGACTGGTGCGTGTGTATGGGCATGGCATGCCTGGCTGTATGTGTGTATGGTGATGGCATGCCTAGCTGTATGTGTGTATGGGCATAGCATGCCTGGCTGTATGTGTGTATGGGCATGGCATACCTAGTTGTATGCATGTATGGGCATAGCATGCATGGCTGTATGCATGTATGGGCATAGCATGCATGGCTGTATGCATGTATGGGCATAGCATGCATGGCTGTATGCATGTATGGGCATAGCATGCATGGCTGTATACATTTATGGGCATAGCATGCCTGGCTGTATGCATGTATGGGCATAGCATGCATGGCTGTATGCATGTATGGGCATAGCATGCATGGCTGTATGCATGTATGGGCATAGCATGCATGGCTGTATGCATGTATGGGCATAGCATGCATGGATGTATGCATTTATGGGCATAGCATGCCTGGCTGTATGTGTGTATGGGCATAACGTGCCTGGCTGTACGCATGTAGGGGCGTAGCATGCCTGGCTGTATGCATGTATGGGCATAGCATGCCTGGCTGTATGTGTGTATGGGCATAGCATACCTAGTTGTATTGTATGCATGTATGGGCGTAGCATGCATGGCTGTATGCATGTATGGGCATAGCATGCTTGGCTGTATGTGTGTATGACCATGGCATGCTTGACTATATCTGTATATGGGCATAGCATGCCTGGTTGTGTGGGTGTATGGGCATGGTAGGCCTGGCTTCATGTGTGTATTTGGATGGGATGCCTAGCTGTATGTGTGTATGGGCATAGCATGCCTGACTGTATGTGTGTATAGGCATAGCATACCTAGTTGTATGCATGTATGGGCATAGCATGCATGGCTGTATGCATGTAGGGGCATAGCATGCCAGGCTGTTTGTGTGTATGGGCATACCATGCGTGGCTGTATGTGTGTATGGGCATGGCATACCTAGTTGTATGCATGTATGGGCATAGCATGCATGGCTGTATGCATGTATGGGCATAGCATGCATGGCTGTATGCATGTATGGGCATAGCATGCATGGCTGTATGCATGTATGGGCATAGAATGCCTGGCTGTATGTGTGTATGGGCATAGCATGCCTAGCTGTATGCGTGTATGTGCATAACGTGCCTGGCTGTATGCATGTATGGGCATAGCATGCCAGGCTGTACGCGTGTATGGGCATGGCATGCCTGGCTGTGTGTGTGTATGGGCATGGTATGCCTGGCTGTATGTGTGTAAGGGGATGGCCTAGCTGCATATATGTATGGGCATGGCATGCCTGGCTGTATGTGTGTATGGGCATAGCATACCTAGTTGTATGCATGTATGGGCATAGCATGCATGGCTGTATGCATGTATGGGCATAGCATGCTTGCGTGTATGTGTGTATGGGCATAGCATACCTAGTTGTATGCATGTATGGGCATAGCATCCATGGCTGTATGCATGTATGGGCATAGCGTGCAGGGCTGTATGTGTGTATGGGCATAGCATGCCTAGTTGTATGCGTGTATGTGCATAACGTGCCTAGCTGTATGCATGTATGGGCACAGCATGCCAGGCTGTACGCGTGTATGGGCATGGCATGCCAGGCTGTGTGTGTGTATGGGCATGGAATGCTTGGTTATATGTGTGTATGGGCATAGCATGCCTAGCTGTATGTGTGTATGGGCATGGTATGCCTGGCTGTATGTGTGTATGGGGATGGCATGCCTAGGTGTATGCGTGTATGGGGATAGCATGCCTGGCTGTATGTGTGTATGGCGAAGCATACCTAGTTGTATGCATGTATGGGCATAGCATGCATGGCTGTATGCATGTACGGGCATAGCATCCCTGGATGTATGTGTGTATGGGGATGGCATGCCTAGTTGTATGCATGAATGTGCATAACGTGCCTGGCTGTACGCATGTATGGGCATAGCATGCCAGGCTGTATGTGTGTATGGGCATAGCATGCCTGGCTGTATGTATGTATGGGCATAGCATGCCTAGTTGTATGCATGTATGGGCATAGTATGGCTGTATGCATGTACGGGCATAGCATCCCTGGATGTATGTGTGTATGGGGATGGCATGCCTAGTTGTATGCATGAATGTGCATAACGTGCCTGGCTGTACGCATGTATGGGCATAGCATGCCAGGCTGTATGTGTGTATGGGCATAGCATGCCTGGCTGTATGTATGTATGGGCATAGCATGCCTAGTTGTATGCGTGTATGTGCATAACGTGCCTGGCTGTATGCATGTATGGGCATATCATGCCAGGCTGTATGTGTGTATGGGCAGGGCCTGCCTGGCTGTGTGTGTGTATGGGCATGGCATGCCTGACTGTATGTGTATATGGGCATAGCATGCCTGGCTGTGTGTGTGTATGGACATGGTATGCCTGGCTGTATGTGTGTATGGGGATGGCATGCCTAGCTGTATGTGTGTTGTATGGGCATAGCATACCTAGTTGTATGCATGTATGGGCATAGCATGCATGGCTGTATGCATGTATGGGCATAGCATGCATGGCTGTATGCATGTATGGGCATAGCATGCCTAGTTGTATGCGTGTATGTGCATAACGTGCCTGGCTGTACGCATGTATGTGCATAGCATGCCAGGCTGTTTGTGTGTAAGGGCATACCATGCCTGGCTGTATGTGTGTATGGGCATAGCATACCTAGTTGTATTGTATGCATGTATGGGCGTAGCATGCATGGCTGTATGCATGTATGGGCAAAGAATGCCTGGCTGTATGTGTGTATGGGCATAGCATGCCTAGTTGTATGCGTGTATGTGCATAACGTGCCTGGCTGTACGCATGTAGGGGCATAGCATGCGAGGCTGTTTTGTGTGTATGGGCATACCATGCCGGGCTGTATGTGTGTATGGGCATAGCATACCTAGTTGTATTGTATCCATGTATAGGCGTAGCATACATGGCTGTATGCATGTATGGGCATAGCATGCTTGGCTGTATGTGTGTATGGGCATGGCATGCTTGACTGTATGTGTGTATGGGCATAGCAGGCCTGGCTGTGTGTGTGTATGGGCATGGTAGGCCTGGCTGTATGTGTGTATTTGGATGGGATGCCTAGCTGTATGTGTGTATGGGCATAGCATGCATGGCTGTATGCATGTATGGGCATAGCATGCATGGCTGTATGCATGTATGGGCATAGAATGCCTGGCTGTATGTGTGTATGGGCATAGCATGCCTAGTTGTATGCGTGTATGTGCATAACGTGCCTGGCTGTAT